TTTTTTTTTTTTGCATGTTCGTCCTTCGGCGAAAAGAACTCTGGCGGCAACAAATCCGGTGAAGGAAGTATTTTTTTCGTGAATTTTGTCCGGCGAATTAAAAATTTTCCGTCAACATTTGTCCTTTTTTTCCGGCCAAAATTCTAAGTAGTAACTAATATATGTATTATATGAGGATTTTGGTGTCCAAAAATCATGATTAATTCATATATTTTTGGTTAATTTGCTAAGGATTGAATTTTGAATAATGTTATTCTTATTTACCATAAATCAATGAAAATTATCAAAATCTCTTTTTTCTTGTTTATGTATACGAAATTGATGCTATTGTTAGGATATGTAATGTGTTATTCATCCTAAAACAAGAAAATAAGGTGGGAATGATTATTGTACCACTATTCTTGATTATTGTACCTCTGTTTGTATTTATATAGTACCACTTTGATACTGTTTTGTACCATACTTGCTGGGAAATTTTATTTTTTATTTATCCCATTATTATTAGATACATAGAAGGGGCACAAAGTAATGTACTAGAGAGTTGTATGTACAAGAATGAATTGTTTGTGTTCTCTATGCACATTGGATCAACGCTTGACGAAATGTACACTCTTATATCTAAGAGTTGGCCGAACGTTAATTTCGAATCCGTCGTGCTATGCTATATTGCGCCAAAGAAAAAAAAAAGAGAGAAAGTTAGTTTGTCGGATGATGAGGATGTGAAAAACATGATTCTGTTACATGTTTGTTGGAAAGTAAATATTGTAGAGATACTTGTCATTCAAAGAAATAAAAGACCGGATGATGGAGTTCAATCCTTTCCGTTGAACATGAGAAGGTAATGTTGCTTTCATAATATTAATGAATTTATTATTGAAATATCGTAGTCTTATCATATCCTAGTTCGTTTATTTTTTAACTAGTTCCATTATTTATAAATCTTTATATTATTTTGACATGAATGCAGGAAAATCGTACCGTATGATTATTTCTCGGAGGGAGAAACATGAGTTGCTTTTGCAAGATAAATTGATCGATTCTTGGAGATTTTGCAACAAATGAGAGGGGCAGATATTCAATGGGGCCGACAAATTTCGAAAGAGTGTTAAAAGCTACGCGATTGCAAATAGGCAGTCTTTTAAGTATCGAAAAAATGATAAACAGAAGGTCATTGTTTGTTGTAGCGATGTGGACATGTGTGTGTACTCATTTTCATTCCAAAGAGTGAGTAGTAAATGAGACTTTATGAGTAACATTTTTGTATACAATATACTGGTATTTCTTACTGCAATATATGTGATAATTTTGTGAAGTTTTAATCGGTGTATTACATTTTCATTCCAGAAAGCTGGTACTATATGACTAATTTGTAGTACTAAATTAACCAAAACAGGTACTACGCTACAGCATTACAAGTACCAGCATCACACCCAGGTTTTTTATTCTTGTTTTTTGCTCCTTTTTCGAACACTATTTATTTAACGTGAGTGACTGACTTTTAGTAATATAAAAACATTCATAAACTCATAGATACTAATTGAGGAGTTATTTTGAAGAATATAAAGTCAAGAAGTACAATTTAATTTTTATAAGCCACAGAGGTTAAGTATGACTTTATAAATCTCGAGCCAAAGGGAAATGGATTAATTTGCGCATAATTTTATGCGATCACCTAGTGATAGGATGGTAGAGGATTTGGCCTTGAGGGCGCCCAAACCCGGGTTGAGTCCCCTTTTGCGCGATCCTTCCACCATTTTTTTGGCACACATATTAAAATTTAATTAGTACCTATTTTATCCAAAATAATACTGCATCTTCTTCTACGTGGTACTTGTTTTTAAGCGAATTGTACCCACTTTTAATTACTATAAGTATGAAAAAAAATGGTTGAAGGATCGCATAGAGGAGGACTCGAAGCCAGGTCTGGAGGCCGCATTCTCTACCATCCTACCATTAGGCGATCACATTTATTCATGCGCAAATTTAATTCTTAACCTCCATGGCTATAGAAATTAAATTTTACTTCTTGACTTAATAAATTATATTAATTGGCATATTTACCAATTTAATTAAAAACATAGACTTAGGATTTAATTTTAAATTAACCTTTTGTACTTCGAATTTCACCAATTTATGTATTTTTATGTGTTC